GCAGACTCTCCAGATTACCGAGTTAGAGATAGCAGACTCTCCACTTACCAAGTTAGAGATAGCAGACTCTCCAGATTACCAGGTTAGAGATAGCAGACTCTCCAGATTACCGAGTTAGAGATAGCAGACTCTCCAGATTACCATGTTAGAGATAGCCGACTCTCCAGATTACCGAGTTAGAGATAGCCGACTCTCCAGATTACCGAGTTAGAGATAGCAGACTCTCCAGATTACTGAGTTAGAGATAGCCGACTCTCCAGATTACCGAGTTAGAGATAGCAAACTCTCCAGATTACCAAGTTAGAGATAGCAAACTCTCCAGATTACCGAGTTAGAGATAGCAGACTCTCCAGATTACCGAGTTAGAGATAGCAGACTCCAGATTACCGAGTTAGAGATAGCAGACTCTCCAGATTACCGAGTTAGAGATAGCAGACTCTCCACTTACCAAGTTAGAGATAGCAGACTCTCCAGATTACCGAGTTAGAGATAGCAGACTCTCCAGTTACCAGGTTAGAGATAGCAGACTCTCCAGTTACCAAGGTAGAGATAGCAGACCCTCCAGATTACCAAGTTAGAGATAGCAGACTCTACAGTTACCAAGTTAGAGATAGCAGACTCTCCAGTTACCAAGTTAGAGATAGCAGACTCTCCAGTTACCAAGGTAGAGATAGCAGACTCTTCAGATTACCAAGTTAGAGATAGCAGACTCTCCAGTAACCAAGTTAGAGACAGCAGACTCTCCAGATTACCAAGTTAGAGATAGCAGACTCTCTGGTTACCAAGTTAGAGATAGCAGACTCTCTAGTTACCAAGTTAGAGATAGCAGACTCTCCAGATTACCAAGTTAGAGATAGCAGACTCTCTAGTTACCAAGTTAGAGATAGCAGACTCTCCAGTTACCAAGTTAGAGATAGCAGACTCTCCAGTTACTAAGTTAGAGATAGCAGACTCTCTAGTTACCAAGTTAGAGATAGCAGACTCTCCAGTTACCAAGTTAGAGATAGCAGACTCTCCAGTTACCAAGTTAGAGATAGCAGACTCTCTAGTTACCAAGTTAGAGATAGCAGACTCTCCAGATTACCAAGTTAGAGATAGCAGACTCTCCAGTAACCAAGTTAGAGATAGCAGACTCTCCAGATTACCAAGTTAGAGATAGCAGACTCTCCAGTAACCAAGTTAGAGATAGCAGACTCTCCAGTTACCAAGTTAGAGATAGCAGACTCTCTAGTTACTAAGTTAGAGATAGCAGACTCTCCAGTTACCAAGTTAGAGATAGCAGACTCTCCAGTTACCAAGTTAGAGATAGCAGACTCTCTAGTTACCAAGTTAGAGATAGCAGACTCTCTAGTTACCAAGTTAGAGATAGCAGACTCTCCAGTTACCAAGTTAGAGATAGCAGACTCTCCAGTTACCAAGTTAGAGATAGCAGACTCTCTAGTTACTAAGTTAGAGATAGCAGACTCTCTAGTTACCAAGTTAGAGATAGCAGACTCTCTAGTTACTAAGTTAGAGATAGCAGACTCTCTAGTTACCAAGTTAGAGATAGCAGACTCTCCTCGCGAGATTCAACAAGAAGGAAGCGCAAGAAATTCTCAACGAAGCTGAGATGAGAACCACTTTGAAGTTGAGTGACAACTGAAGACATTTATGACTTCAGACATCAAAGGTACTTGTGGAGTGTTGGTAGGGGGGGGCGGGGTGCAGCTGCGGGAGGGGTAGTGAGTCTTCACAGTGACGTCTGGAGTTTTCACAGTATTCAGTGACGTCTGGAGTTTTCACAGTATTCAGTGACGTCTGGAGTCATCACAGTGTTCAGTGACGTCTGGAGTCATCACAGTGTTCAGTGACGTCTGGAGTCATCACAGTGTTCAGTGACGTCTGGAGTCATCACAGTGTTCAGTGACGTCTGGAGTCATCACAGTGTTCAGTGACGTCTGGAGTCATCACAGTGATCAGTGACGTCTGGAGTCATCACAGTGTTCAGTGACGTCTGGAGTCATCACAGTGTTCAGTGACGTCTGGAGTCATCACAGTGATCAGTGACGTCTGGAGTCATCACAGTGTTCAGTGACGTCTGGAGTCATCACAGTGTTCAGTGACGTCTGGAGTCATCACAGTGATCAGTGACGTCTGGAGTCATCACAGTGTTCAGTGACGTCTGGAGTCATCACAGTGTTCAGTGACGTCTGGAGTTATCACAGTGATCAGTGACGTCAGTAGTCTTCACAAGAGTCAGGAAGGTGACCCAGTCTCCGCGCCCAGACAACTTGAATATCAGAGAACATTTATTTCCGCTCTCTCCGTGTCTCTGGAGAGTGACATGGACACGACTAAGACTGAGCTGGAGAGTGACATGGACACGACTAAGACTGACCTGGAGAGTGACATGGACACGACTAAGACTGACCTGGAGAGTGACATGGACACGACTAAGACTGACCTGGAGAGTGACATGGACACGACTAAGACTGACCTGGAGAGTGACATGGACACGACTAAGACTGACCTGGAGAGTCACATGGACACTACAAAGACTGACCAGGACACGACATAGACTTAACAGGACAAGACAAAAACTGGCTATGGCTCTTCAATGACTGGCTGGAATACGACAGAGTCTGACCTGGCAACTACAAAGACTGACTAGGACACGACAATAACTGGCCAGTACAAGACAAAGACTGGCCAGTACAAGACAAAGACTGACCACAATACGACAAAGACTGACCACAACACGACAAAGACTGACCAGGACACGACAAAGACTGACCAGGACACGACAAAGACTGACCAGGACACGACAAAGACTGACCACAACACGACAAAGACTGACCAGGACACGACAAAGACTGACCAGGACACGACAAAGACTGACCACAACACGACAAAGACTGACCACAACACGACAAAGACTGACCACAACACGACAAAGACTGACCACAACACGACAAAGACTGACCACAACACGACAAAGACTGACCACGACACGACAAAGACTGACCAGGACACGACAAAGACTGACCACAACACGACAAAGACTGACCAGGGCACGACAAAGACTGACCACAACACGACAAAGACTGACCACAACACGACAAAGACTGACCACAACACGACAAAGACTGACCACAACACGACAAAGACTGACCAGGACACGACAAAGACTGACCAGGACACGACAAAGACTGACCAGGACACGACAAAGACTGACCACAACACGACAAAGACTGACCACAACACGACAAAGACTGACCAGGACACGACAAAGACTGACCAGGACACGACAAAGACTGACCAGGGCACGACAAAGACTGACCACAAACGACAAAGACTGACCACAACACGACAAAGACTGACCAGGACACGACAAAGACTGACCACGACACGACAAAGACTGACCAGGACACGACAAAGACTGACCACAACACGACAAAGGCTGACCAGGGAACGACAAAGACTGACCTAACACGACAAAGACTGACCACAACACGACAAAGACTGACCACAGCACGAAAAAGACTGACCACAACACGACAGAGACTGACCACAACACGACAAAGACTGATCACAACACGACAAAGACTGACCAGGACACGACAAAGACTGATCACAACACGACAAAGACTGACCACAACACAACAAAGACTGACCACAACACGACAAAGACTGGCCACAACACGACAAAGACTGACCAGGACATGACAAAGACTGACCACAACACAACAAAGACTGACCACAACACGACAATCACTGACCACAACACGACAAAGACTGACCACAACACGACAAAGACTGACCACAACACGACAAAGACTGACCACAACACGACAAAGACTGACCACGACACGACAAAGACTGACCACGACACGACAAAGACTGACCAGGACACGACAATGACTGAGCAGGACACGACAAAGACTGACCAGGACACGAGAAAGACTGACCACAACACGACAAAGACTGACCACAACAAGACAAAGACTGACCACAACACGACAAAGACTGACCACAACACGACAAAGACTGACCACAACACGACAAAGACTGACCACAACACGACAAAGACTGACCAGGACACGACAAAGACTGACCAGGACACGACAAAGACTGACCACGACACGACAAAGACTGACCAGGACACGACAAAGACTGACCACAACACGACAAAGACTGACCACAACACGACAAAGACTGATCAGGGCACGACAAAGACTGACCACAACACGACAAAGACTAACCACAACACGACAAAGACTGACCACAACACGACAAAGACTGACACAACACGACAAATACTGACCACAACACGACAAAGACTGACAAGGACACGACAAAGACTGACCACAACACGACAAAGACTGACCACAACACGACAAAGACTGACCACAACACGACAAAGACTGACAAGGACACGACAAAGACTGACCACAAAACGACAAAGACTGACCAGGACATGACAAAGACTGACCACAACACAACAAAGACTGACCACAACACGACAAAGACTGACCACAACACGACAAAGACTGACCACAACACGACAAAGACTGACCACAACACGACAAAAACTGACCACAACACGACAAAGACTGACCAGGACACGACAAAGACTGACCACAACACGACAAAGAATGACCAGGATACGACAAAGACTGACCACAACTCTACAAAGACTGTCCAGGACACGACAAAGACTGACCAGGACACGACAAAGACTGACCACAACACGACAAAGACTGACCACAACACGACAAAGACTGACCACAACACGACAAAGACTGACCACAACACGACAAAGACTGACCACAACACGACAAAGACTGACCACAACACGACAAAGACTGACCACAACACGACAGACTGACCAGGACACGACAAAGACTGACCACAACACGACAAAGACTAACTACAACACGACAAAGACTGATCACAACACGACAAAGACTGACCACAACACGACAAAGACTGACCACGACACGACAAGGACTGACCAGGAC